CAACTCCAATCCCAGATCCCGACTCGAGCGGGATCTGAGGATTCCAGACTGTTGGGCAGCTGCGGATGTGAGCTTGACCGCCTCCGTGACGAGTTGCGTTTGACCAAGAGGAGGTGGTGACCAACGACTATGTGGATACGCCCATGGCGGATCCGCCTTAGGGTCGGCGCGTGGAGGGTCCCCAACATCAAAAACCGACGACAACTGTGAGTGACAGTGCGCCCCGCGCCAAATCCACCTCGCTCGTCGCCGGATGTAGCCCTGGCTCAACTCTCTGAGGAGTTGCAAGACACCAAGGAGTCGCTCGAGAGGGCGTCTGCCGGACGAGATTACGCGCTTGAAGAATTCGTGCGTATGACTCGATTGCGGGACGAGATCCAAGCGAAACTGGCAGACAGCGAGCTCCAGCGGGACAAGGCGACTACCGAGTGGGCGGATGCCAAGCGTACGCAAACGGAGCTGGAATCCAAGCTTCGCCGCATGAGTACGTGGATCCTCTTTTAGCCCTTGCTAGTAACTCCATATTCACTTGTTATTGTCAATCTAGGTGACAAATTGAAGGAAGCGGATGCGACCACCGCGAAGCTCCAGGATCAACTCGCCGCAGCCCAAACTCAGCAGCAACAGCTGATTCTGGAGCGCGATCGCGGCTTGTCGGAGCGCGATTTGGCACGTCGACGACTGGCGCTGGTGACAGCTGCCGTCTCGGATCCACTTCCTCCCTTGTCGGGGCCCTCTCAGGCTGCTAGCGTCTCTGCTCCTCTTCCGACGGTACGTGGGGCGGATTCGTCGACTGCGAAACGCCCGCGTAGTGCATCTCCCGCTCCTAGTACCGGATCCTCCCGTCCCCATAAGCAGGCCCGAGCTTCCCCGAAAGCCAAGCCCAAAACGAATCCGGTTTCTAAATCGGCTCCGCAAGCGGGATCCACTTCTAAATCAGCTCCACAAGCGGGATTCACTTCTAAATCGGCTCCGCAAGCGGGATCCACTTCTAAATCGGCTATGCAAGCGGGATCCACTTCTAAATCGGCTCCGCAAGCGGGATCCACTTCTGTGCCCAAGGCGGGATCTACACCCGCGCCCAAGACTTCCGCTTCTCCCTCGAAGTCAGGTGCCGGATCCAAGTCTGGATCCACCGCTAGATCCAAGTCTACCTCGGCGTCCAAGACTGGACCCGTTGCTACGTCCAAAGCGGGATCGACGGTGTCCAAGTCCCGGATCGACAGCCCAAAACGAGATCTACGGCCGTATCCAAACCGGGATCGGCGTCCAAGACGGGATCCACCGCTGCTGCGTCAAAATCTGGATCCGGACCCAAGACGGGGTCTACGACGTCCAAGACTGGACCCGTTGCTACGTCCAGAGCGGGATCGACGGTGTCCAAGTCCGGATCGACGGCCAAAACGGGATCTACGGCCGTATCCAAACCGGGATCGGCGTCCAAGACGGGATCCACCGCTGGTCCTTCGGTGACGACGCCCGCCGTTCCTCAGCCCGCTTCCACCAACCCTCCGCCGGCCCGTACTGGACCCGGGAAGGGGAAAGCTAAACGCGTCATTCCCCCTGGGTGTGGACTTGGTAGCTCGGAGGACGACGAGGATGAGGACTCCGACTGGTCCGACGGCTCAGGGCCTCCTGACCGATCGTCGTCAAAGCGTACGTCGTCTTCCGGCCCGTATCCCTTCACTCTGAGCGATGAGGACGATGACGACGACGACGATGACGACGAGAGTCCAGAGGATTCGGAGGAGGCTCGAGCCGCTGAGGAGGCCTTGGAAGAAGACACGCGGCGGGCTCTATCCCAATCCCGATCCGAAGCCCGGCGGAGATCCCTCTCGACGCCGCCTCCACAAATCGCTGGCACAGCCGGATCCGGAGGCGACACTGCGGGATCAGCGATCCAAGTCGACAGTGGCGGTGGATCGGGTAGTGATGGTGGGAGGGGGTCGCCTCGTGGTGGCGGACTCCTTGGATCTGGCGGAGGGGGGCCGCCTGGTGGCGGATCTCCCGGATCTGGTGGAGGGGGGTTGTGGTGTAGCGGGATCAGCAAAATCTGCGAGATTGCCAGATCCAACTTACCAACTGCGCCCAGACACCGACTAACGGAGGGGGTCCCCCGATGATCCGTGTTCTGCTGAACTTTCCTCACCTTGTGTACCCGTCGGTAGGGCGGGATCTGCTCTCTCGGTAACTTCCGAAGAGTTCAAGTGGTGAAGCTTGAGTGTCTTGGCGAGACGTGGGGATGGGTGGAGCAGCAGTGGAAAATCTTCACTCTGCGTCCGTGGATGGTTCCGTATCCTAAGCGAATATTCGAGCTTATGGATCCGGGGCCTAGATCGTGGATCTGGCCGTAGGGTTGCCTTGCGGGTGTGTTCCCTTGCCTTTGCGTTCCTTTGCGTTGTACTTGCCGCCTCCTGTGACGGGATCTTGAGAGTTGAGAGCCCCTAGGGTGTAACCGACCAAGTAGTAAATTCGGTTAACCTGTCGGATCTGCACAAGTAAAGGAAAAGCTCACTAGGTAGTAGGATCTGGCCAATGTATTATCCAGTTATCACTACCAACACTA